TAGCCATGCATTTGCCTAAAATTATCTCTAAGAATAACCACAGAATGTGTCTAATTAAAAGATAAAGTCTTCTTTGGAAACGATGATGCAGTAAAACAGCATCATGTTGAAAAATGTGTATCTGTAAACAGACCCACCTAATGTTTCAGTCAGTCCAAATCTACTGTCTGCAAGGCGTCACCTTGAAATGTTAGGTACCAGGATTCTCTCTGGAGAAAGAAAACAAAAGAAGGAGAGAAAGGACTGTACAATGAAAGTAGAGAAAGGACTGTGGGGGGAAGGAGGGTAGGGAAATCTATAAACTTCCATTTTAAAAAAGGCTAGCCTGGTAACATTCTCAGGTGCTTTAAAACATTATTAAATATTTACTTTTCACAAAAAGTGTTACAGTTGGTCATATTTTAAGCTTTTACTTCCTTGAAAACAAATGTATTATTAGATTAACCATGTTCAACCAAACCAAAAATAATCATAAAATGTCAGCTAAATATAAACTGTATTTCTATTTTCCTAAATATTTATATACAAGTTTGTGATATAGTAATCAGGATCCTGAATCTTACACCACATTTTCATTTTAAATAGCAAAGCAAACCTTATTAATTTCCCATGTGATACATTAAAAGGCACCCATGATAGATTTTTCTCAAAACTCACATAAATGAGAAACTTCTTGTGATCTAATTTCTATTTTCCTAAATATTTATATACAAGTTTGTGATATAGTAATCAGGATCCTGAATCTTACACCACATTTTCATTTTAAATAGCAAAGCAAACCTTATTAATTTCCCATGTGATACATTAAAAGGCACCCATGATAGATTTTTCTCAAAACTCACATAAATGAGAAACTTCTTGTGATCTATGGCATATATCCCACAACATGAGGACACAGGAACTGTCACATTGGGCTCTGCACCTGTGAAGACAACAAACTGGTACATCAGAGGCAGGGTTGCCAGGCTTTGGCTGGTTGGTCCGCGGGTTTCCTGGGGTGATGATGGATTTGCATTGATTCAGCGTCCTTGTTCGGTGCGGGCCATCCAGGGATGGGCGCTGTCAGGCACCTGGAGCAGACACGGGCCAGCAGAGCAAACCAGAGCCTGCAAAGTTGACTGTTCCACCTGGTGACTGAATGACTGACTTCATGTCCATGAATTTGGTCTTATTTGTTTATGGTGTGCTCACCAGCTAAGCTAACTCATCTTTTAACACTGAATTATACAAGGTAACACAGCTTTCCAGAGTTTCATTTTTTCTTTTCAGAAGAAATATCACTATTAAATTTCCAAAATATTTCCTATTACACTATGGACTAAGAGGAGTTTTATAGTAATATGAATGCTATGAGAAATTATTTCAAACATATTTAAGCATATTCAGAGGTCTGAAACAGTCATTTTTAACATACTAGAAGCTAAATTTAGCTCAAAATGAAAAATGGTGAATGTGTGAGTGCAAAGCAAAAACAAAAACAAAAAACAAATTCACAGCAATTATGTTTTTTATTAGACATGGAAATTTCAAAGGTCTCAAGGTAGGTAGGTAGTAATGTCATCATGTGGCAAAACAAGCATTAGAATTCTAGAACTCTGACATCTAGTCCTGGTTGTCATTATATAATATCAGAATTACCAGTTTCTCCATTTTCAGAATGGGAAACTAGGTTTGACACACCTAAGGGCTCTTCCAATTTTGAAATATTAAGAATTCTTATTCTTGTTAAAATTATGTATTACATATTTTTAAAATCTAGATTTTTTTAACCATGACAAAGACAGAGCTGCTAAAATATTTTAAAATAAAAGATAAAATAAAACCAGCCTGCATTTTTAAAATTATTTCTAAGAATGGAAAAACAGTTGTACAAAACATCCTCAAGAACCCATTTTTCTAAAAGAAAACAGAATTGCCTAGACAATACAGAATGTATTTTCTTAATCTATTTCTAGTGCAGCATTGCAGTATTACTGGAAGATTTTAAAATGACATTGTCAAGGCATTTTTCATATATTACATAGAAATATAATTTCCTTCCTTCCCTTTCCTTACTGTGAAAAATCCTTGCACAAGTTTAACAGTGAAACCTGAATCTCATCTAATAAATGTCTCTCTTCACTTTGTGGTGCTGCTCTCTGAAGGCTGGATGACTGAATGGGTTTTGGGGCAGGAAAAACGCACATGCCAAATTGCTTTTAACCTTACAAATCTGCATGCTATCTCTTTTAGTGCAGTCTTTGGAGAAAAATTTAAATGGAAAGCAGAAATGTTAGGAAAGACACCCAAACTACAGCTGCAAAGTCTCTCATGTCCTCCAGAAGGTAAGCCCTGCATTGCAACATTAGGCCGAAGGGGGCAGAATAAAACTGAATCCCTAAGGAAACAATTACAGTTCATTTGGATCTTCTTTTTAAACAACCACTTTAATTAAAAGGACAGAAAACAAAGACATAAGTTATTTCTAACTAAATACTGAGGTGAGTAAAATCCACATTTGCTGCAAATCGAGATTTTAAAAGAATTTACCACCATTTGTAATTTGCTCATTTATTTAGCCAAGCCTTTCTCCACCTCTGGGGAAAAAAAAGAAAGAAAATCTTGTCTGTTATTGATAGTATCAACTTAAGTAGCTCCTTTTTCTTTAAAAAAAATTATCAAATGTGCTTGGTACAAATGTGCCTTACAGGTCACCACTGAATCCCACCTGGCAGCAAAATTGTTAAGACATAAAGTAACGTGATGACGCTGAAAGGGGAGAGTTACAGTTCAGGGTCAAATAGTGGATTAGCCTAAAATCTTGCCACTTTAAATAGAAATTTATTAGACATTTTAATAGCCTTTTAAATTGAGAGATTTATTAAATGCTTATATTTTTAAGTATTTTTCTGACTTACTTCAAATGAAACTTGGAGAGGATAAATGAAGGGTATTTTTTCCTGAGACCTTTGTTAAGCTGAGTAATAAAGTGTATTACCAAGCAAAATAAATTTTTAAAAGTGGGTTTCTTGTAGGTTTATAGGATCAGTAATGCGTAATGGTACTAACGAACAGTGTTTAAAACAAGCAAACTTAAATAAAATGTTGATACTTTTAGTTCATTTTTCCTATATTCCCTAATACTTACTGGATTAAATAGCACCTATCTTCCAAGGAACTCGGAATTCCTTATAGTCTTATAGATCTAGACTATTTTGACAGCACAATAGCAGCTGTTTTCAAATGGTAATTTTTTTACCACAGTAATGTTCTTTTAACATGTATCAGAGAATAGCAAAGAGGGACGTGATAGAAAGCAGAGCAGCAGCAAACTGGGAAGTCCATACAGTGGAAGAAGCAAGAGGGTGAAAAAGAAGCAAGAAATCGTAACTTCAAAAAAGCCTTCTACCTAATAGGCAAAAACTTGGCTTCCCTTTATCACAAATTCTGCTTCAGTGAGTTGATAAGAAAAGTTGAACTAATGAATCTACTGCTTTCCTGGATCTTAAATAAAGTCCAGTTTTTACTATAAGATTATCACATGATGAAGAAATAATTCTCCTGAATAAACTCTATAAATATTACAATGTATTGTTTCTACAATATTAACAGATTTCTCAATGAAAGCCCATCAGCAGTTTATTTCTAAAATTGTATGCTCTTATTTATTAGATGTTTTCACTAATTTTTGGTAGGGTATCTCTTCATCATTCTTACAAAATAATGGCAGCCAGCAAGTTTATGATCTGGTGAAAATGTTTAATGGAATATTAAATACCGTATGTTTAACCTTTTTTCAGATAATTATAGGATTTGAAGTATAACCCATAAAATACTATATTCCATAAAATGAGCCCCATGAAAATTAATATAGTTAAAACTTCACTTCATATTCTGACAACATGGTGTAAACTAAACAAGGACCAGATTCATAAACTTTTACCCCTATTTTGAAAACTTTTGAATTTAACTCAGAATAGACAGATTTCTAGTTCTTAAAGTACTATATAATCTCATTTCATTTATGAAAGAAATACAGAAACATAAATTTTATTTCAAATATAAAACACTGTTAAAACATAATAAATTTAAAGGGAAAGAAGGCCCTGTAACTTACTGATACAGGTTTATCTGCACTTTTAAGTTAAGCAATAATGACTGAATTAAAGTCACTTCATATAATAGCCTGGAAATTAATGAAATTTACTTTTAATATTAACTGACAAAATAGTAACCTCTAAAAGAAGCAAATCTTGTCTACTATAGTGTATATACTAATACAGAGCCTAGCCAAAAAAAAAGTATCCCCTGGTTCTTCAATACTGAATTGAAAGTAAAAACCTATGACTAGTTGAGACACTTGATTATGCATGTAGATATTTATCTCTGGTTATTTCCTCAAATTCACGTACTATCATGACTATTTTTTAAAACATATTGACAGACTCTCTAATGAACTATCAGCCATGTGCATTCCATTTTAAATGTTTTTTTAAGTATTCTCAAATTCTAGGTTCCAAATCACATTACAGTCTTAGAAAATTTTTTAAAATTCACATTAAAAATTTTTATTTTAGAATATTCTGTCTTTAAGGCACTTTATTTTCATACATTCACATTGTATTTGTTTCATAGTCTGCTCTAAAACCCACAGAACAATTTCATAAGGAGAGTTTTATTAAGTTAATAATTTGTTCTATCCCACCAATTTGTCTAGAAAAAGCTCCCAGTGGTGAATTGTTTATCCTTGGAACTTAAGTCGACCAGCTTTATAATACTCCTACAAACTTGTTTCATGGACAGTATTAACTTTGGGACCTGAAAAGGCTATTCACATGAATATTCAAGTTTTCTACTTGAATACTGAAAGAAGCCACCATCTCAAAACTATTTTCCAAGTCTATTTATATAAGACATTGCTCCAGTTTCATTCTAAGCTGTAACTAATACCTGAATTTTTCAGAACCAAGACCATTCAGTATCATAGTCCCTCTTTTTTCAAATAGCAAACTTGAACACAATTTTAATTCTTTTAAGAATCTTTATTGAATTTTTAACAATTTAATCTGTTGGATCTTGATGCAGTTTATAAAAAAAACTTCAGTATCGTTTCATATAAACTGCATTCAAAAAAGTGATTTGTCAAAGAAGTTACCTGATGTTGCAAGTTATTTTCTGTAATATGCAGAACAGTAAAATGTAAGCATGCTCTCGGATGCAGGTGCTACTGTGTACTATGGAGTTACTTTGAAGAGCTTGCTAAGATCTGCAGGCAGTTTATGGAATGCAATCATTTCCCCATAATTTAGGTACATGAGAATAAAATGGATATTTATGAATAAAGTATGTTTCTCAAAAAGTTGAGGCAGCTTTTGTTAAATGCTATCTGTATGGGTAGGTACGCTTGCTACGCCTTGAACACTGCTAAGAGAAACTGCCAGCCAGGAGCCCATGATCATGCTGAAACTTGAAAAATCCCTCCAAACATGTTGAAGAGTTCCAAGAAAAGGAAAATGGTGAAATACTATGCGCAGCTGTTCATTGTCTTACATTAAAGAACACACCAAGAAACTTTACATAACAAGAGCAAATTTCCTTCACTGGCAGTCAAGGTCAGTGGTGCTACAGTGGAGCGTTTAGGGTGGAGAAAGCCTGAGACAGGATAAAGCTTAAGTCTACATCTCATGCACAGTTGTCTTTGTACAGTCCTCGAATGTTTCTCACACATCCGAGTTAGAACTGAGGTTTGTTAACCTGGGGTCCGCATTGATTTCATATCTGTAATGATACCCTTCCATGTGATCTCTGCAGGCATCTCTGATGTTATGCATCCACTTTTTTATCCCTTTGCGGTTCAAATACAAAACTAGTAGGAAAATGGCGCCTATCAGAGCTAAAACGATACCTAGGAAGACGTAAGAAGTCTGCAGGGATGGAGGGAGCATAGGGTCACAGTCCAGGTCGGAGCTGTTGAGTTCCATGAGAACCCGATTCCTCATTTTTTCCGGGAATGCACAGGTGAGCCTGGCTTTGCCCTGCACTAGCTCTGTCTCCTTAAGCCAGACCACCATGTCTGCCAGGTGGCAGTCACAGACCCAGGGATTGTTGTCCAGGAAGACCCTGACGTGGGGCAGGCCTTGCAACTCTGCCAAGGTGCTGTTATGAAGGACCTTGAGGGCGTTGTCCTCCAGGTGGAGGCTTTCTAGGTGTGTCAGGTTGCGTAAGGACACGTAGGTTAGGCTCACCAGCGAGTTGTTGTGTAGATCCAGGTGCCTGAGACTGGGCAGTTGGGCCAGTACGTCCCGGGGCAGGTAGAGGAAGTTGTTGCTGGCCAGCTCCAGGCGGCAGAGCTGTCGCAGCGCGTGGCCAGCTCGCAGGGCCGCTGCCACCATAGTCTCGACGCTCCGGTTCTGCCCCTCGTCCCCAGGGGACACGATGTGGTTCAAGATCAGTTCCACAAGGGGGCTGGGGGGCGAGATGCTGGCGTTGCTGCTCGCGAAAGCGAAAGGGCTGAGGTCGGCCAGCGGGTTGTGGCTGAGGTCGAGCTGGCGCAGGTTGGGGAGATGCTCGAAGGCGCCGGCGTGCACCAGTTTCAGGCGGCTGCCGCTGAGGTTGAGCGCGGCCAGCTCCGCCAGCGGAGGCTGGCGAGCAAACGCACCGGCCGGGAGCACCGCCAACTGGTTGCCGGTGAGGAAGAGGCTGCGCACGTACGGAGGCAGGTCCGCGGGCACCTCGCTCAGGTTGCGGTTAACGCACTTGACGGTGCGCGCCGCCTCGGAGCACTCGCACGGCGCGGGGCATCGGCCCGGCAGCGGGGGCTGGGGCGACACGGCGGGGCCAGGGACGGACGCGGAGGGGGCTGAGAGCGCCGAAGAGGTCAGCGAGGACGTGGAGACCCAGCCCAGGAGGACCAGCGCCAGCCGCGCCAGCCGCAGCCGCCCGTCCCCGGCGGCGGGGCTCCGGGAGCAACCCCCAGGCATCGCGGCACGGGCCTCCCCGGGGCCGGGCCGGCGCCCGCTCCGAAGGCTCGGAAGCTGGGCCCGGAGGGCGCGGGGCGTCCGAAGAAAACTTTCCCGCCGTGGGAGGGGAGGAGGGCGCCGCGGCCGGAACTTCGCTGACCCTCTCGCCGCCTGGCGTCGCCCTCCCGGGGTCGGCTCCCCGCCCTTCCCTCCGGAAGGTACGCACGGCGGGTCGCGACGCTCGGCTCCGCGCTCCTCCGCCCGCTCCGCTTCCTGCCGTCGCCCCGGGGCGGCCCCGCGCGGCCGCTCCTGTCGCACCTCACGCCGCCTCCGCCGCGGGACCTGGGACGTGAAGGGGAGAAGCGTGAGGGGAGGCGGCGTCCGCAGCTCATCGAGCGCAGGGACCGGACCCGACGGTGCCGAGCCGTCCCCACGCAGGCCCCGAGCCCGCCCTCCGACGGCCCACCCGCAGCCTCCCCGGAGCGGGGAGCGAACCCGAGGCGCCGAGCGCAGGCTCCCGTCCGCCCCGGCCCGCGCTATATATACCCTGCCAGCCTCCCGCCCTCCGTGCCTGTTCGCGCCCGTCCCCCGCTCCTAACTTTCCGCCGAATCGCGGCGCCTTCCGACCAAACTTCTCGCTGCCGCGCGGCCCCTTCCCCCGCCGCCCCCGCGGACGACGTGCCTTCCGGGGGCGCCGCCCCGCCCGCGCGGCTCCCCCGCCGAGGTGGGGATGGGGGGGGGCAGTCTCAGGTTACAGGCGGCTTTGGATCTCTTAGTGCCTTCCCGGGTCCGCGCGAGCGGAGGGCCGCCCCAGCCCGCCCCTCGGGGTCCAGAGGGGGTCCAGGTCATCTCCCAGGGGAAGGAAGAGGCCGTGAGCAACGCGGCGGGGGCGCCCCGGACCTCGGCTCCGCTCCCGCCCGCGGGCGGAGAGGCGCCGTCCCCAGGTTCTCTCCTTCGCGCTGGCTCCCACCGCTCACCCCCGCGACTGGCAGCTCCCGCGTCCCGCCAGCACCGCGGCGGCTTGCAGGCTGAGAGCGGCGCACGCCGACTCTCCGCGCGCCCCAGCGCCTGGCCCGGCCTCCGCAGCTGGGAAAAACCAACCGGGGCCAGGGGAAGGCAGGCCCGCCCGAGGGTCCTCTCCCGCCCGGGGCCAGCTGGGCAGCCCTCCGTGGGGGGACTTAAGGAAGGGACCTTGGGGCCTCTGGCTGTGCGCCTCCTCCTGGTGGAAACTAATGAGGAATGGGCCGGAAAAGGCGAGGGAATCCCTTTCTCTCCCCTCTCCCCGGCATCCTTTGGTGGTTTCTCATTTTGCGTATTGTATTTACCTTGTTGCACAGGAAGAAAACTGCTGGTGAATCTCGTGGAATTCACCCTGGTTCTGGCACGTAGGGCGGTAACAAAATAGATTTAGGCGTAACGGACAACAGCGCAAAGCAGCAGCATAAAGAAATGAGCTGAAAATGGATAGCGGCAGCCCAGCAAGGGGCCAGAGGGATTCAGAAAGTTGACACCGGAGACTGCCAACTTAAGATTGGTGTAATTAATGCGTCCCCACCTGTCCCGCCCCCGCACTTCTTGAAGAGGTACGGATCTTGGGGAAGAGAGAGAGCGAACTTAAAGAGAAAAAATAAGATTAAGGGAGAGTCAGTCTTGATTCATTAACTTTTCTCTCCCAGAATTAAAAGCAGAGGGAAGAAAACGGCAGGCAAAGCATCCTAGAAACAAAAAGGCAAATAGCAACGACGTGAGTCACCCGGAAAGCAAACCTGACCCCCTCACCAGATGTGGCAGCTGTGTGTCAGTGCAAGTCACTTAAACTGGGAAAGCTCAGGGTTTGGGGGGTGGGAAGGAGGGAGGCAGCCCAGGGAGCACATAAGTTTGGTCCAAAAGTCTGTTAACCCCGGGTTGTGAGGGTGGTGGGTGGTGGGTGGTGTGCGACTGGGGTGGGGGAGGAGGTGGAGAGGATGGATCTAGTGAAAGGGACAGATTGAATGATTGTTTTATGGGAGGATCTGTTACGTCGGAGAGGTTGGGGTCCTGAAAACGCTTATCATTAGTCTCTCAGTAACTATGTATCCCCTTTGTCCCAATCAAAATAATGATCCCAGAAGGGTGAGAAGCTCCTGGGTATTCCACGCTTCTTCATTTCAGAGAGAAAAAGCAAACAGTTGGGAACATTAAGATTTGGTAATACTAAAAAAATCAGATAAGGAATGCTGAGGTTGATGTATGTGACTTTAATGTGAAGACAGCTCCAAGTCGCAGGTCAGCTCCTTCTTGAGTACTTTTGTGTGGAGAAGAGTTTGCACAATGAGCAGAAAAAATGGCCCAAATAAGACCTGGAGGGATTGGAAACTGCAGAGATTTGTGGAAGAAGACAGTTTCACTGATTTTCAGGGTTATCTAAATCCCTTTATCTTACTTTTAAAAGTGTTTTGCAACATGAACATGAGATTCTTTGAAAAAGAGTCTCAAAAACTGTGTCATGTTCTGTATCCCGTGTTTCTATGTCTGGGTCGTGGTTATATAAATCTGTGCATGGGTTAAAATTCATAGAACTTTGTACACCTGGAAGAATCAATTTTACTGCATGACAATTTTTAAAAATTACTCATGGGGGAAAACTATAGCAATGTTCTGACATGATATTAATGCAGGTTCTGACTTAAAGAGCAACTGCTATGTTAAGGGGAGTGAGAAACACTTCTGAATTTAGAAAGATAATATGTATATTCTCATCTGATCTTCCAATCAACTCAGCAATATTGATATCATAAGTATTATTGTCTTATTGTTATTGGTGTTTACTGCATTTGACAAATGAAAAAATTGGGACTCTGTGCCAATAATAACTAGCATTGACTGAGTGTTCTTACTTACCAAGCTCTGTGCTGATCACCTTACAGAAATGATGTCATATACTCTTTACAGTAGTTCTCAGGTAAGTCTCTCACCCCAGTGTTACAGATGAGAAAACTGAGGCAAAAATAAGTTATATAACTTTTGCTAATGAGTGGTGGAGGTGGAGACCTGGCCTAAATTTGTCTACATCTCTTATATATCCCACATTCCACCTCTACACAAGGTTAGGGAGTTTGTGCAAAGTGCTGCTCTGCTGTACTTAGGCAGAAATGAAGCCTTCCCCCTGCTCTCCTTCTTCTTCCTTTCTCCCCCTGCCTCCCTGCAGCTGGTATTTGGTTACAGCTGATGAATCAGGACCCCGAAAGTTGGGGTCAATTCTAGCTCCACCACTTACTGTGTGACTGCTGTATACCCTTGTTTCTTTATGACTACTTATAAAACTTCAAGGCATTTCCATGAGAATGAGATACTGTATATAACACACTTAGCAAAATTGCCTGTTATTATTGTACTCTCCTTAATTACTCTTCCTGTTGCCATTTATTCTGAACCCACTCTATCTCTGTAACTATGTTAGTGACAGGAATAAAAGATGAATGGTTTATGGTCTCCTTAAAGTAGAATTTCCAGATTTAGCAAATAAAAATATAGGATACCAATTGAATTTTAATTTCAGATAAACAATGAGTATACTATAAATATGTCCCATGCAATATTTGGGGTGTACTTATACTTAAAAAAATTATTTACCTGAAAATCTAATTTAACAGAGCATCCTTTATTTGATCTGGCAACAAGTGAACTCAACTTGGTGGAAGAAAACAAAAGGTTTCAATGCAGAATATTGAGTGCAGTTCCATGTATGTGTATCTTTCCAATCTCTTCTTTCATATTTTATTTCTGTTTCTGCTGTTTTTTAAATATGAATGAGATCATAGCATATGTATTACTCATGATTTTTCTTATTTTAAAACCACCATGTAACTATGTCCATACATATAGGTATGTTTTCTTCTTTCTTAAAAATTGCAATATTCCATACTGTGGATTGTTATACTGCATTTTTTTTTAGTTAAGGTATCATTGATATACAATTTTATGAAGGTTTCACATAAGCAAGGGTAGTTTCAACATTCACCCATATTATCAAGTCACCCCACCACCCCTTTGCAATCACTGTCCATCGTGTAGTAAAACGCTATAGAGTCATTACTTGTCTTCTCCATGCTATACTACCTTCCCCATGACCTACCTATATTGTATGTTCTAATTATATTGCCCCTTAATCCCCCTCTCTCTAGCTCCCTACCAGTCTTCATCCACCACCATTTGTGGAGTGTAACCGCCAGTCCCTTTTGGAGTCTGTGAGTCTGCTGCTGTTTTGTTTCTTCATTTTTCTTTGTTGTTATACTCCACAGATGAGTGAAACCATTTGATACTTGTCTTTCTCTGTCCAGCTTATTTCACTGAGCATAATACCCTCTAGCTTCATCCATGTTGTGGCAAATGGTAGGATTTGTTTTCTTCTTATGGCTGAATAATATTCCATTGTGTATATGTACCACATCTTCTTTATCCATTCATCTACTGATGGACACTTAGGTTGCTTCCATTTCTTGGCTATTGTAAATAGTGCTGTGATAAACATAGGGGTGCATCTGTCTTTTTCAAACTGGGCTCCTGCATTCTTAG